ATTTGGGAGCCTGATTTTTTTGAGTTCTTTATATATTGTAATATGTACTATTACAGTTTCTTCACCAGAGAAACTATTTGGTATTTACACATGTGTGACTTATTTATTTCACTTAGGAGTATATCCTCAAAATGTACCCATTTAACTATGAATGAATCTACTTTCTCATTCTTTATGGCTGAGTAGTATTCCATTTTGTAGAAAAACCACATCTTTTTTATCCAGTCTCCAACTGATGGGCATTTGGGCTGTTTCCAAGTTTTAGCTATTACAAACTGTGCCACTATAAACACGGGTACACATATATCACTGTGATATGATTCTTTTAATTCTTTTGGAAAGATACTGAGCAGAGGGATGGCTGGGTCAAATGGAACCTCTAGTCCCAGCTCTTTGAGGTATCTCTATATTGATTTCCATAGTGGTTGCACCAGTCTGCACTCCCACCAACAATGGAGAAGGGCTCCTTTCTCCCCACAAACCAATGTTTGTTATTAGTTGATTTCTTGATAGCAGCCATTCTTTCTGGGGTGAGGAGGAATCTCAGTGTTGTTTTCATCTGCATCTCCCAAATGACCAGTGAAGTGGAACATTTTTTCATGTATTTACTTGCTGCTTTTACTTCTTTGAGAAATGTTTCTGCATTTCAGATACCCATTTTTGAATTGGGTCTTTATATTTGGGGGGGCTTTTTTTTAGTTCTTTATATATTCTAGATAGTAGTCTTTTGTCTGAGGAACAGCTGGTAAAAATTTTTTTCCCACACTGTAGGTTGTCTCTCAGTTTGTCTCTAGATAGTTTTGTTTTGCATTGCACAAGTTTCTTAATGAGATCCCAGTTGTTGGGTTTTTTTTTTTTTTTGCTAGTTCCTGTGCTACTGAGGACTTGTTCATAAAGTCTTTTCCTATGCCAGTGTCTTCAAGAGTTCTGCCTAACTTGTCTTCCACCAAATTTAGTGTCTCTTTTTTAATATTTAGATCTTTAATCCACTTGGATTTTAGTTTAATACATGGGGAAAGTAAGGGTCTAGTTTTCATCTTTGTCAGGTTAAAATCCAGTTTTTCCAACACCATTTATTAAAGAAGCTACCTTTCCTCCACTGAACCTGGTTGGCTCCTTTGTCAAAGATGAGGTAGCTGAGTATATCTAGAGTTGTTTCTGTATCTTCCAATCTATTCCACTGATCCTCAGATCTGTTTCTTTGCCAGTACCATGCTGTTTTTATTAAAATGGCTTTGTAGTATAGTTTCAAGTTGGGGATTGTGATACCCTCTGTCATGTCTCTGTTCCCTAGGATTGCTTTTGCTATTCCAGGTCTCTTCTGGTTCTAAATGAATTTTTGGATTATTTTCTCTAGTTCTGTGAAATATACTGTTTGAATTTCAATTGGCATTGCTTTGAATCTGTATAGCAGTTTTACTAGTATGGCCATTTTCACTACGTTGATTCTTCCTACCCAGGAGCAGGGGATATCTTTCCATTTTCTTATATCTTCTTCAATCTCTTTTTCAGAGTGTTGTCATTTTAAATGTAGAAGTCCTTTGCTTCTTTTTTTTAGATTTATTCCTAGATACTTCATTTTTTTGGATGCTATTCTGAAAGGAATTATTTCCTTAATTTCTCTCTCAGTGACCCTGTTATTTGTGTACAAGAAGGCTACTGATTTTTGAGTGTTGACTTTGTATCCAGCTACTCTGCTGAAAGTGTCATTTAAGTCTAGAGTCTTTTAGTGTTTTTTGGGTCTTCAGTGTAGAATGTCATATCGTAAGCAAATAAAGACATTTTAACTTCTTCATTTTCTGTCTTTATTGATTTAATGTCTTTTTCTTGTCTAATTGCTGTGGCTAATGTTTCCAGAACTATATGGAAGAGGAGTGGTTAGAGTGGGCATCCTTGTCTTGTTCCTGATTTTAACCTGAAGGATTTTAGTTTTTAGTTTCTTGAAGGATTTTTATCATGAATGGGTGTTGAATTTTGTCAAATGCTTTTTCCAAATCTATTGAGAGGATCATATGGTTTTTGTTTTTGACTCTGTTAATATAGTGTATTATATTTATTGATTTATGTATGTTGAACCATCCTTGCATCTCTGGAGTAAATCCAACTTGGTCAGGGTGTATGATCTTCTTGATGATGTTCTGTATTCTGTTTGCCAGTATCTTTTTTTTTCAGCTGTAATTGAGTTTATTGGTACATTTTAGGGATACAGTATAGTTATATTCATTGTTGGGATCTTGAAACTCTACATGATAGGCCTTGGTTCTCATTTTTTCCCTTTGTCCCTGCCCTCCCTTCACCCCCTCCTCCTCTCCCCATCTACAAGCACTTTATTTCCATCTTTTCTTTATCTCACATTTTTTTCTTTTCCCTTATTACCCTTCCCCTATCTATCCCACCTTCCCTACACCTTTAGCCCCTTTCTTCCCATTTCACCATGTCAGTAATCTTATTAGGATCTTATGTATTATTGCAATTTATTCACACCAGAGAAACTATTCAGTATTTACACATGTGTGACTTACTTATTTCACTTAGGAGTATATCTTATTAAGGATTTTTGCAGCTATATTCATTAAGGAGTTTGGCCTGTAGTTCTCTTTTTTAGTTGGGTCTTTCCCTGGTCTGGGAATCAGAGTAACACTTGCCTCCAGGAATAAATTTGCAAGTATTCCTTCCCTTTAAATTTCATTGGAGAGTTTAAACAGTAGTGGCAGTAGTTCTTCTCTAAATGTCTTGTAGAATTCAGCAGTGAAGCCATTAGGACCTGGGCATTTCTTCATTGGTAAACTTTTAATTACATTTTCAATTTCACTGATTGTAATTGGGGTGTTTAGAATTTTTTTTATCTTCTTTGTTCAACTTTGGTAATTCATAAGTATCTAGAAATCTGTCAATTTCTTTTGTGTTTTCCATTTTATTAGAGTACACATTCTCAAAGTAGGTATTGACAATCCTCTGGATTTCTACTGGATTAATTGTGACTTCACCTTTTTCGTTCCTAATTGCATGGATCTGAGCTTTTTCTTTCCTTTCTTTTTTGACAAGATTAGCTAAGGGTTTATCAATTTTATTTATTCTTTGAAAAAACCAACTCTTTGATTCATTGATTTTTTTCTGCATCATTTTGTTAGTTTCCATTGCGTTGATTTCTGCTCTAATCTTTATGATTTCCTCTCTTGTATGAGCTTTGGGTTTTTCTTGCTTTTCTTTTTCTAGGAGTCTAAGATCCATCATTATGTTGTTTATTTGAGTTCATACTGTTTTCCTAGTGTTGTCATTCACTGCTATGAATTTTCCATGACTGCTTTCATTGTGTCCCATAGATTTCTGTATGTTTCATTGGCATTATCATTTATTTGTAAAAACTGTCTAATTTCTTCTTTAATTTCCTCTGTGACCCATTGATCAGGAGAGTGTTTTTCAATTTCCATGTATTTGTGAAGTTCCTATGGTTGCTTATGCTTTTGATCTCCAGCTTAATTGCACCAGGGTATGATAATATACATGGGATTACTGTGATTCCTTTGCATTTATTCAAACATATTCTATGAGCTAGTATGTGGTCTGTCTTGGAGAATGACCTATGTGCAGGCAAAAAGAATGTATTTTCTGATTTTGTGGGGTGGAGCACTCTATAGATGTCTATTAAGTCCATATGTTCAAAGATTTGGTTCTGTTCTAGTATTTCGTTGTTGATTTTTTGCCTAGATTATCTGCCTATTTATGATAGTGGGGTTTTTATGTCCCCCATTACAATTGTGTTTGTGTGTATTTGGTTTCTCATGTTACTATTCTAGAGTCTCTTATCATGTGTTTCATTGCGCTCATCATCTCTGTAGTTATCTGGGAAATTATTTCTGTTTTGAATTTTCTAGAGCCTGATTGATCTGTTTTGTTACTTCCTGTGCTATGAGTTCAGGGTGTCCTGGTGGTTCACTGTCAGACTTTTTCACCTCACTTGCCCTAGAGTTTGCTCTTTGTGAACTGGAAGTTTGTCTTTGTGTCTTGCTTACGTATTTTCTCATTTTCATTTTTTTTGGTGGGCTGCCCTTCGTTTAATTCCTGGGTTATTACTTTGATCTTCCTGATTTTTGTTGCTCTTTAGCTTTGGAGTCTCTAATGACTCATAGACACTCTCAGCCGTATTGATACAATCAGCAACACAGTAGTATCAAGTATAGTTTAGAAATTGACCATTTGTGGTAGTTGTTAAGCTATCACTTTTAAACAATGTGAATTAAATAAAAATCAAGGACAAGCCCAAAATATATGTATAGTGAGTAAACTCTTCAATATAGCAACTTTACTCTTTAGGATGGGCACTTAGATGGATAGGATAAAAGGAATATATAGGTAGAAGAATTGGAGAAGGTTTCAAGTGAAGCCAGAGGGCACAGGATGACCATGCAAACTTTAGGAAACTGTTGAAGACAAGAGGGAAAGACAGAGTGCAAGAACAAGGACAAGAGTAGAACAACTTAACAGTAATAGGGACTCACTTTCCTTTGAAATTAGTGACCCTTGAGTGAAGGAAAAAAGAGAAAATAAAAGAAAAAGGAAAAAAAAACAATAAGAAATCTGAATTAGGGTCTGAACAGGAACAGAAAGGGAGATGAAGAATAATATGGGAGAGCAAGAGACTGAGTGAGAAAAAGAATATAGAAAAAGAAAGAATTTGCAGAATGGAATGAGAAAAAAAGAAAAAGTTCAAAGAGCCTTTTTCAGGGTGTATATCTGCTGTCACAATAGACACTGTGTGCAGCAATGTGCAGAACTAAATTAACTAACTGGTCTCAGGAAGCAGATAGCTGACCCCTGAGATTCAGGCTAAATTCAGGCTGCAAGGCCCAAATTGAGCTCCCTGTAGGGTTGGATTGTGCAAGGGTCTACTACAGGGTCCCTCTGCCCTTTCTCTGAAGATATTCAAAGTTCTGATGAGAGGTGGTGATCCCTCCAACTTACCAACTATGGAGATCTGATGTGCCTTTATTGCAGTTGTTCACTTCTGTTCTCTCTTCTGGAGCTCAGTAAAATGAGCTTTATGACCACCTGTGCCTGTGCAGAGTGGATCCAGGAATGAGGGCGGGCTCACTGGGTGGCTAACTGGTCCTCACTGGTCCACTGGATGCAGGCTGGGGCCTATTGTCCAATTTTAGAAATATGTTTCTTAAAGTGCTATTAGAAGAAATTCTTTCCTTTGTTAGTCACCCAAGTTTTTCCCAACATATATTCCTGAATAGCTAGTCTGCTAATACACATCGACAAAATGTTTTCTAGAAATTCATAATGATTCTCTACCTATCTTAGATATGCATGGAAGTTCTACTTAGACATAGTCTCACAGGAAATATTATATTATATATTATTTCGTCTTTACATTTTGCTGGCTTTTTAGTGAGAAACAAAAAGTTGTCATTTATTGCTTCAACATTTCTTCTCCGAAAAATTTTCCACTAACCCTGTCCTGCAACATTTATCCAGTAGTAAAATCTTCTCAGAAATAGACTCTAATTCTGAGTTTTCTTTTGCTTTGTTGATCTATACTGTACCACAACCATTTATATTACTGATCCTATCTTCTTAAGTATTTGGATTACTCCTAATTTAATCAGTAGTAATAATAGGTAAAGTTTCTTGAGCATTTGTGAACATTATCCATCCTAATAAGGATGCAAATCTAACTTCACTAGGTATTCATGTATGATTTTTACCTCAAGGAATAAATCTATTATCCAATTAACTCTTCCTATTATTGGCACATTATCTTAAATTTTGCCCAATACTTACATAGCCAGTAAAATTTAAGGAATTCTTTTTTGCACTTTTAATAATTCATGTTATTTTGTCTTAAGTATAAATCAACACATAGCTAGATTTTTTAAAATGTGCGATCTGACAGTCTTTTTCAACTGAACAATTCAGTCCACATAAATATTACCATTATTAATATTTTATAGGCTGCAATTTTATTTTGATTGCAGAAAGCAAGTAATAAATTTAAGTGAAATGATTATGATAAAAATAGCAAAGAACTGAAAATCTACAAAGTCCACCTAAAGCATGAAAATTTGACATTCAGTAGTTTTTTTCATCTTCAGGTTTGATTGACAGTACTTGAAAATGTTTAAGCAGACTTTTAAATCATGATGACTATTCTAAAGTGGATATCTACAGCTGAGTAGTTTTAGTATCTCTTCTAGTTACCCAAGACGCGGCTGTGTTCAGCACTGTGAACCGACCTGGGACAGATCTCTACTATATACTTTGTTGCTAAAACGTGTAGAATATTTATACTGTGCTAGTTTAATCCAACTTGCACCTCTCCAATTGGCTTTTAAAAACTGGTTCGTTTAAAATTTTTATTTTATATTGTTCTTACTTTTCTTGCTCTCTACTCATCAGAAATACATGTATTATTTCTGCAAAAGTTAACTGTGCTATTATCCTTATAATATCTGAATTCTTTCTCAGAGTACAAATCAACCCCATGAATCCACATAATTTATGATGTAATTATTTGGATTTAAATGTTTTCTCATCCATTTGTGTGCATGATCACATTCACACATCTTAAATTGTTCTCATTTTTCCCTTTTCTGAATTATATCAATGAATAAATGCCCCAGGAAATGATATCTTCCTATGTAAAATGTTTAGCTACTACTTCTGGTGATGTTTCCATTTTGCATTATAAAATAGAGTGGATTGCCACTTGAATTAACAATTATTTTCTATTAAATCCTTCTAAATGTGACTCCATGATCATTTGAATTCTATTCTTGCTTGTATAAATTTTTCTTTCACTCTGATGCGTCAAAGAGTAGTTTTGCTTTTGGGGTAGTTTGCTTGCTCTCAAGATTTTTTCTCGGTTGTTACGTTCATTTGCTATACTATGGTTAACGTAAATTATACATGTCTTGGATATATCATTCTTTTTGTTTTGTGGGCCTATCTAGTTTGCTTTTGTCCACATTTTAAATTTTTCATTAATTTTCTTTTCATACTTTCACTACCTTATTTTCTCACTTCAATAACTGTGTCCTTATTTATACTCTTTATATATTCTGTGTAGCAATTATAGTGTTTGTGTAGCATGATAGTCTTTATATATATAAACTTCATTTTTATTCTTATTGCTTTTGCTGTAATGCATCTTACAATTATCCTTTTAAAAAATCCAGTACCATTAAACCAACCACCTTCTGTTTCCCGCACAGGTCTTACCTGTGTCTATGTCTGCATGCTGAGTTACTGTGCAAGGATCTTAGCTTTCATCCTCCTCCAAACATCATCTTAGTTTGGGAATGTATTTGGAATATGATCTGGTAATCAGCAGAGGAAGGGGAGAGTTGGCAGAAACTTACAAAGTCGCTTGCAAGTCTTTGATTAGAATCGGAAATTTGCTGTGCACGTTCTTTTGGACAATGCCAGTCATGTGGCTAAGCCCAGCATCAACAGCAAAGAACTGTACAGGGATGTATGTTTGCAGAATATTTTCAGATTCACTATACTAATGTAAATGCTCAGTTGGAAAACAGTACATATAGGTGTTTTTTAAGATCGGGTTGCACCATGTTATTCAGGCTGCACTTGAATTCACTACAGAGCCCAGGTTGGCCTGAAATCCACAGCATTTCTCCTGCCTCAGATTCCCCAAAAAAATGGAATTACAGGTGTGTTCTACCATGCCTCCACACATGAACATTTTTTTAATGGCCAACTATATTCCCTCTTTCTTATGAAAAGTTAATTTATCTATTCCTTTTGACAACCAGTATCTGTTGCTCCTTGTGAATCACATTGTACAGCTACCTGAATGTACAGTAAAGGTTATTCTCAAATCTGCAATGTCAGTCTTTATAAAAGAATAAATTCAGAAGTTATCATTGGCCATAAAGGATACTATCTCATCTGAGTCAATGGTGATAATCTTCTCTTTTTTTTTCATTGTCTAATAATTCAAATATTCCTCACATTTGTCATATATTAAGTATGTGATGAATTGGGTTAAACATCTTCACTTAAATAATACATTCAGCAAAGAGATCAAGAAAAAATATTCCTTTGAAGTTTAGATACATAGAAGCTTAGATCTCTGTACAGATATCAGGGTAGATCCTGAGGCTTCAATAGCTCCTGAGACAGCAGATCCTAGGACAGTAAAAGTTAATTCTCTAAATTTGATTTCAAAAAACAAAAATGCTTGAATTTTTAAACTATTGAAAACATTTTAAACTTTCCAATGTCACAGAAGAGGCGCTGTCAATACATTTCTTGAAATCCATGAAATTGCATTTTAGCAGACTATCACCATTGCATCCTCAAAATTAAATAAATTTGTAATTAATCAGGAATAATTGCTCTAATTGTTTTAGGCATGCATCCATTCAATATCAAATATTTACTTATTGAATACTTAAAACTATTCTGTGATGAGCATTATCCTTTATTTTCCTGCTTTCAAGCACTGACCTTTCTCTGAAGAAAGACATTTGAGCTGGGTGTGGTGGCTGAGTAGCTGCTATAGAGCTTAAAATACTACCTGTGGTAGCAGTGGTATATCCTGGTGGATAGGATCAAGGGTTACAAAGATAAGGCTGGGTCAAATGTAAATGTTGACTGTACTTTCTAGTTCTTTCACAGATGAATTTTGTTTACTTGCCTATGTCTTGGCTTCCCTTTCTTTGATAACTATAGCTGTCGTACATCACCAGTGACTTTGGCATTTAGGTTCACAACGGTAAAAAGGACGTGATAACTAATGCTAATTGAATTCTTCTTATCTTATGATTTTTAAAAACTTTATCCCATTAACATCAGTTCTCTTACAGTGCTAATAATATTCATGAACACCAAGCATCAACTTGTCTACTAGAAAAGAGGACTAATTGAATTCTTCTTATCTTATGATTTTTAAAAACTTTATCCCATTAACATCAGTTCTCTTACAGTGCTAATAATATTCATGAACACCAAGCATCAACTTGTCTACTAGAAAAGAGGCCTCTTGCCCAGATGAAACCTAAGTTAGTTCTTAAAGTGAAACTTTTTTTTTTATCAGATTGAGAATCTGAAAGCTTCCTAATAAAACGAAAAGTGTATTGCTTACAAATGAGCACAGTGTTGAAATTAACTGGCATTCTCTAGTAATAGTGCCAAGCTAAGTAGTGTCTGTCCTTGAAGGAACTAACTAAACATACTCACCTAGTATTCACTGATTTAAATTAAATCCTGATGGTTTATGTGTTCTGGTTCTGGGGCGAATTTAGCTTATTCCTATAAAAGGAATGCAACAAAATCAATAGTATTCAAAGCTTGATTAACACATTTCATATAAATATTCACCCTATCCTACTATCCAAGAGTGCAAATTCATTTTGAAAAAGAATGTAATGGAATTTACTTTTCATTCGGTGATATCCACTTGCAGCTTACTTTCTAAACTTCCACTCTTAGATTTTTGGAATTTCACAGAGCTGCCTTAGATGAGCGTACGTGGGAAAGGTGAAGGGGTTGGTTCCCAAGTCCAAGTCTCCCTTCAGTCAGCGCAGTCCTTTTGATAATC